AAAATCGTTTGCGTTTGTCATTATCACCGTCGCTTCCGCCGCGACCGTATCAGAGGCATAGCGGCAACTGCTCAGCACACGCCACCGTGGCGGAGGTTATAAGACGTTTTCAACCAGAGCAGAAGGAAGTTCTGCACCCTCAACAACGTTTTGGCGCATGCCATGTCATGAATAGGAATGCTAGTGGCACAGAGAAGTTCATGAATTGCAAATCGAATACTTTCTCCGCCGCAGGAGTTGGGGCGGGCGGGTTGCATTAATCCCCACACATTCTCTTGCGTACCCAAAAGGAGGTGTGTATCTGTGAATGCTAGTTGGGTAGTGTGTTTTGGATTTTTTCATATATATTGCACGAGTACAGAAAATAAATCGAGCGAAGACGGCAGGAAAAGAAACTTAAGTAAAAAGAAAAAATTGACATAAAAAAAAAGGAAAAGGACGGCCTGTAAATATACATGTAAGTGTTCATCTATGAGCTTTGCGTTGCTCCTTTGCTATTTCTTTATTATCTTATTTGTGTTGCTTCGGTCACTTTTTGTCATTTTCTGCACTAATCCTTATTTGTTTTTGTTTGTTTTCCCACTCTTACCAGCACGTCTAGCTATACAATGCCATCTGGGTGCCGAGGAGGCGGTTGGGCGGCGACAGGAGTTTCCTGCTATGAAGCAACTGCCATTGAGGGAACTTTTCGCTGCGTAGATCTTCCTCAATGCCCAGCCGTTGGCGCGCAGCGGAGGTGCCTGGGCATTCTAGAAGCAGATGGCGAAAGGTTTCCTGCGGGTCAACTGGCGTGCCTGTGGAAGTTGACTGATCCTGCGGTGGCAGAGACCGCTTCCTGGCACCACAGGGCGAGTAGCGGTGAGTCTCTTGGCGAATGGTACGACGCCACTTGTTGCTGGGCTGGGTAGTAAGGCATGTCAGCGGGTCCGTGTGCCATATGGGCGCCATTCCATGTTCCGTGTGTTGTCCGCTTGCCATGGTCTGCGTCGCATGCTGAGCCGCAGGCTCGTCAACATGCACTGCACAATGTCCGCAACAAAACTGCCGGTGCACGGACCGGCCGGCACGCATCAGTGTCAAGAGACGCTGCCAGATCCGGTCCTCCGTCCAGTCGGTCTGGCGGAACGGGTCCTTGTTGAGGGCCGCTAGGAGAGACTGGCTTTGTGTCGCCACAAGCGGGGTTTTTACGCCTGTGCTGGATCCGAGGGATAATCAGCCTGTCCAGGACCAACGAATCGATTTGTCTTACCAGGCTTTGTCTTCATTGTCATTGCGACCTTCTCCGTCTCTCCGAGTCGAGGCCGAGACACGGCAAGGGCATGTGTACCAGGGCAAGCTTCTGTCGCCGGATGACGGCTATAACGTCAGCTTGGCGGAGGCAGCATCATGACGTGATCGTCCGTGTGGTGTTTGGCGCGAGCTGCTGGCGGTGAGAGGGTTTCCTGCGCCTGCCGCAAGTCCCGCGACACGCCGGCGGTACTTTGGCTCCGTTTTATTGACAGCAGCAACCTGCTGACGGTGCGGTTTCTGCAATGCGACGAGCCGCGCGGGAATGGGCGTCGGGATGATGGTCATGGTGCTGCCGCAGCGTGCCGCACATTGCTCTCAGTGTGTTGCGGGGCTTGCGGAGAGCCCGGCGCAACGCTGGACGCCGT